TTGGCATGACACTGTACGACAAGGTGAACTGCGGGGAGCCGCCTGAGCGACCTGTTCCACGGGGGGGTCCATAGTCGGAGATGGAGTCGGAGTCCCTCATTATCTGCTTGCGGGATCGTTCGCGATTCAGAGTCTGCGAGATGGACAATGCCTCAGCTTCAACCGCCTGAGAGGAGCCCGCTCCTGGACTTTCTCGAAGGTTTCTGCTTCAGACGCAACATTATCCTCCAGGCAGAGTATCCGTCTGGGGGGTTGAACCTGACAACGAATTGGTTCTCCAGACATTGGAGGGACGCCGGCGATTGTAGGATCTCTCGTCCCACCTTCCTCAAGATCGTGGACCGTTCACAGTGGACCTTTTGCACCTCGCGGATGAACTTTTTGGCTTCGGCTTCGGCTTCGGCTGGCTCACGGGTCAGGCTTGTTCAGTGATGCGATACATCCGCTTAGTGGCCTTGACTCTTTCAATGGAGCCTGGGGTGTTGAGGCGTTATCGCAGTCGGCTAGGACCTCCGCTGGGACTCCTGCGTCCCTGGGATTAGGAGATGCTATTTGTTAGCATGGTGGTCCTGGTGTAGTTGGTTCCCGGAATGGGATACCAAACCCTTTAGGGGCCCTGTAACCAGCATTCTGTATTTTTGGTCACACCGGTTTGACCTGGGACACTCGTATCGTTTGACTTATGTAGTTAGATCGGTGGTTCCGGCGGTCCACGTACTGATTATAGGTCTTCCCATTGGTCAGGACCTTCTGGTTTGCAGATGTTTCAGAGGTATGTGACTGTCACGACCGCCGAGGCCTAGGGGTTCCTTTCTCTGGGACCTATGCACAATTTTTGTCGTTCCCCAAGTATTGTGTGTGTGTGTCAGTGAATGTGAGTGAGTGTGTGTGTGTGTCAGTGTGTGTGTGTCAGTGAGTGTGTGTGCCAGTGAATTTGAGTGTGTGTGCCAGTGAATTTGAGTGTGTGCGTCAGTGATTGTGAGTGAGTGTGCGTCAGTGAATGTGTGTGTGTGTGTCTTTCAGTGAGTGTGTGTGTCAGTGAATGTGTGTATCATTGAGTGAGTTTGTGTCTGTCTGTCAGTGAATGTATGTGTATGTCTGTCAGAGAATGCCTGTCAGTGTGTGTCTGAATAATTGAGTGTGTCTGTCAGATTGTGTCAAATCAGTGCGTGTATGTGTATGTCAGTGTATCTGAGAGTGTGTGCTGGTCCGTGAGTGTGTGCAGTCAAATTGAGATATCCAGCTGGAGACTGACAACTCTGAGGGGCCGGCTTATAGCTTTGTGATTTTTACAAATCACTGCAGTTCTAAGCAACTCATAGAGCTCTATGCACAGGGTTGGATTAACCTAGGGTCTGATGGAGCTGCAGCTCCAGGCCCAGGCCCATTTAATATATATATATATATATATATATATATGTATATATATATATATATATATATATATATACACATATATATATATATTTTTTTTTTTTACACACTACTCTTAGGTTTGCCACCTGACTGGTATTTTAAGGCACAGCCGGTATTTGAGGCTGCCTGGTCGTGACGGTATTGCAGTAATACCAGCAATACAAATGCAAATATTTTTCTCAGTATAAACTGAGATTACTCTGCAATACCAGCACCGGCCAGTAGGGGTCACTGTGTATGGAGAGAGGCAGGGATAGGAAGTTACAGCATCTCCCTGCCTCTCTCTACTCACTGATCTGCTGGGGAGACAGCAGCTCCCAGCCTGCAGAGACAGACTACAGCTCAGGTATGTGAAGGAAGGGGGGAAAGGCAGCAGGGAGAGATGGGGACACTGAGACAATAGGGGACACATGGGGACAAGGAGACACTTGGGGACACTGGAAGACGTGGGGACACTGGGAGACTTGGGTCACTGGGAAACATGGGGACGCTGAGACACATGGGGACGCTGTGAGACATAGGGAGACACATTGGGACATGGAGAAACTAGGGACACAGTGTCTCCATGTCTCCCAGTGTCCACATGTCTCCCAGCCAGTGTCCCTAGTGTCTCAGTGTCCCCTAGTCTCCCAGTGTCCCCTAGTCTCTCAGTGTCCCTATGTCTCCCAGCCAGTGTCTCAGTGTCCCCATGTCTCCCAGTATCCACATGTCTCCAAGCCAGTGTCTCAGTGTCCCCATGTCTCCCAGTGTCCCTATGTCTCCCAGCCAGTGTCCCTAGTGTCTCAGTGTCCCCACGTCTCCCAGTGTCTGTGTCCCCATATCTCTGTGTCCCTAGTATCCCCATGTCTCCCAGTGTCCCCATGTCTATGTCCACAAGTGCCCCCATGTCTCCCAGTGTCCCCAAGTGTCTGTGTCCCCATGCCTCCCAGCCAGTGTTCCTAGTGTCTGTGTCCCCTAGTCTCCCAGTGTCTGTGTTCCCATGTCTCTGTGTCCCTAGTGTCTTAGTTTCCCCAAATGTCTGTGTCCCCATGTATCTGTTACCCCATTTTTACCAGTGTCCCCAAATGTCTCAGTGTCCCCATGTCTCCATGTCTGTACCCACAAGTGCTCCCATTTCTTCCAGTGTCCCCAAGTGTCTCAGTGTCCCCGGGTCTCACCGTGTCCCCATGTCACTCAGTGTCCGCTAGTATCCTAGTGACACAGGACACACTGAGACATGGGGCACTGGGAGACTAGGGGACAGGGCGACATGGGGACACTGACACTGTGATACATAGGGACACTGATGCCAGGCTGGCCTTCCAATTCTTTGGACAGACATGTCCCCTTTTTGGGGATGTTCGCCCCTTTTGGCAGTTCTGGTCATGTGATTCGCGTCAGAGACCCACCCTTTTACCCCGCCCATTGACTTCCTGCTTCACTGGACACTGCTGTTAGGGGGTAGAGATTTACTTGAAAGATGAAAGCATAAATTAGATAAAGAGATTAGCATAGAGTAGTATTTGAGGCTGCCTGGTCGTGACGGTATTGCAGTAATACCAGCAATACAAATGCAAATATTTTTCTCAGTATAAACTGAGATTACTCTGCAATACCAGCACCGGCCAGTAGGGGTCAATGTGTATGGAGAGAGGCAGGGATAGGAAGTTACAGCATCTCCCTGCCTCTCTCTACTCACTGATCTGCGGGGGAGACAGCAGCTCCCAGCCTGCAGAGACAGACTACAGCTCAGGTATGTGAAGGAAGGGGGGAAAGGCAGCAGGGAGACATGGGGACACTGAGACAATAGGGGACACATGGGGACAAGGAGACACTTGGGGACACTGGAAGATGTGGGGACACTGGGAGACTTGGGTCACTGGGAAACATGGGGACGCTGAGACACATGGGGACGCTGTGAGACATAGGGAGACACATTGGGACATGGAGACACTAGGGACACAGTGTCTCCATGTCTCCCAGTGTCCACATGTCTCCCAGCCAGTGTCCCTAGTGTCTCAGTGTCCCCTAGTCTCCCAGTGTCCCCTAGTCTCTCAGTGTCCCTATGTCTTCCAGCCAGTGTCTCAGTGTCCCCATGTCTCCCAGTATCCACATGTCTCCCAGCCAGTGTCTCAGTGTCCCCATGTCTCCCAGTGTCCCTATGTCTCCCAGCCAGTGTCCCTAGTGTCTCAGTGTCCCCACGTCTCCCAGTGTCTGTGTCCCCATATCTCTGTGTCCCTAGTATCCCCATGTCTCCCAGTGTCCCCATGTCTATGTCCACAAGTGCCCCCATGTCTCCCAGTGTCCCCAAGTGTCTGTGTCCCCATGCCTCCCAGCCAGTGTTCCTAGTGTCTGTGTCCCCTAGTCTCCCAGTGTCTGTGTTCCCATGTCTCTGTGTCCCTAGTGTCTTAGTTTCCCCAAATGTCTGTGTCCCCATGTATCTGTTACCCCATTTTTACCAGTGTCCCCAAATGTCTCAGTGTCCCCATGTCTCCATGTCTGTACCCACAAGTGCTCCCATTTCTTCCAGTGTCCCCAAGTGTCTCAGTGTCCCCGGGTCTCACCGTGTCCCCATGTCACTCAGTGTCCGCTAGTATCCTAGTGACACAGGACACACTGAGACATGGGGCACTGGGAGACTAGGGGACAGGGCGACATGGGGACACTGACACTGTGATACATAGGGACACTGATGCCAGGCTGGCCTTCCAATTCTTTGGACAGACATGTCCCCTTTTTGGGGATGTTCGCCCCTTTTAGCAGTTCTGGTCATGTGATTCGCGTCAGAGACCCACCCTTTTACCCCGCCCATTGACTTCCTGCTTCACTGGACACTGCTGTTAGGGGGTAGAGATTTACTTGAAAGATGAAAGCATAAATTAGATAAAGAGATTAGCATAGAGTATGTGTTTTCTTATAGCTGTATCCTTTGAGTTTCCGTCCAACACCAACTCCATCAGATACATGATGCTTAGGAGGTATGACTGTTTTAGTGTTTTTGGTTGATAAGATTCTGTAGTTAGGCCCCATCATAATTGTCAGCACCAGGCCCACTGGGCTCTTAATCTGGCCCTGTCTATGCACCATCAATGTTGCAAAGTTGGTGTTTAGACTGACCCTAAAATAGTGGTGGGAGAGGGAGAGAATGAAGGCTAATTGTAATGTGAGAGGGAGCAGTGTCGTACACACAATACATGGGGCCCCGGTACAAAACTGATCCGTGGGCCCCCTCTCCCCCTCCCCGATCCGTGCCACCCCTCAGACACATACATACATAAAGACACACACACATACACACAGACACATACATACAGACACACACAGACAGAAACAGACAGACACACACACAGAGTCTGTATGTATGTATGTGTGGGTCTGTGTGCGTCTCTGTATGCATGTGTCTGCGTGTGTGTGTGTGTTTGTGTGTATGATAAAGACACATACATACAGAGACACACACAGACACATACATACATACAGACACATACAAACATAAACACAGACACATACATACAGACATACACACAGACACACACAAAATGTTTAAGTAACCCTTCTGTTTCCTACCATTTGCAGGAGGGTGACTTTCCCTGTGGTCCAGTGGGGGCTCAGCCTGATGGGAGGAAGGAGGAAGAAGGAGGGAGTCAGAGTGGGAACTCCGACTCCCTCCTTCTTCCTCCTTCCTCCCACAGGGCTATGGATTTTTAGGGGGCCCGGTCAGCGCTGGGAACTTTAACAGGGTGACAGGGCCTGTGATGATGTCAGAGCTGGGAGGAAAGGACAGCCTGTCACTCCTCCCAGCTGTCATAGAGCCATGTAAGAGGAAGGAGGAAGAAGGAGGGAGTCAGAGTGGGAACTCTGACTCCCATCAGGCTGAGCCCCCACTGGTAGGAAACAGGAGGGTGACTTAAACATTTTGTGTGTGTGTGTGTATGTCTGTATGTGTCTGTATGTGTCTGTATGTATGTGTCTGTGTGTGTCTCTGTATGTATGTGTCTGTATCATACAGACAAACACATGCATACAGAGACACACACAGACACATACATACAGACACACATACAGACACACACATACAGACACATACATACAGACTCTGTGTGTGTGTCTGTCTGTTTCTGTCTGTGTGTATGTGTCTTTATGTATGTGTCTGTGTGTGTGTCTCTATGTATGTATGTGTCTGAGGGGTGGCACAGATCGGGGGGGGGGAGGGGTCCCACGGATCAGTTTTGTACCGGGGCCCCATGTATTGTGTGTATGCCACTGCTCCCTCTCACATTACAATTAGCGTTCATTCTCTCCCTCTCCCACCACTATTTAAGGGTCAGTCTAAACACCAACTTTTCAACATTGATGGCGCGTAGACAGGGCCAGATTAAGAGCACAGTGGGCCTGGTGCTGACATTTATGATGGGGTTAACAGGTGCTAACTTTCTTGGGGACGGCAGGGTACTACCAACGTTTTGTCCCTGACTACAGTACTATCGCAAAGCCCCTGACTGACCTGACTAAGAAGAACTTACCTAAGCAGGTCCTGTGGTCTCTATCTTGTGAAGCCGTGTTTCAGGCCCTGAAGCAGGCTCTTGTGAATGCCCCTGTCCTGGCTGCCCCAGTCCCTAACAAACGTTTTCTCGTCCACACAGATGCTTCCATGTATGGACTGGGGGCTATGCTGAGCCAGGTCGGGGAAGATGGAGGAGAGCACCCTGTCACATATCTCAGCAGAAAATTACTACCTCGGGAAGTGAGCTATGCGGCAGTGGAGAAAGAGTGTTTAGCCCTGGTCTGGGCACTGAAGAAGTTGAGCCCCTATTTATACGGACAGGAATTCTCTCTTATAACGGACCACAATCCCCTTGTCTGGCTTAACCTGGTCTCAGAAGACAATGGTCGACTGCTGCAATGGAGTTTAGCCCTACAACCATATAACTTCACCATCAGCTACCGACCCGGAACGCTGATGGATTGTCCCAGCAAACTGACATCCCTACCACCTCCTAGTCCGGTCATCCCCAAGTTGACCCGCCAAAGGGTCAAGTCGGGTCTGCCGGAGTGTCCCACAAGGAGGGAGCCGTGTGACAGATTCATCTGTGTAAAGACTAATTGCTGGTTTGTCTGTTTCATTTATGTTCATGGAATTACCTGCCCATACGTCCCTGTTAGCTTATTGCAAGTTATACCGAACAAAACTACCGAACGGGCGGCCACCCAGAAGAGAAGTGTGCTGCTGGTTAACCTCTTGGCCCCAATTAGAACGTTGTGGTTAACCGCAGACGCCTCTTCATTCTAACCGTATGCAGGGTGGTCGTCGTTCGTATGCCGACCATGAGGCGGCGGCCATTTTAACCTCGCGAATGAACAGCGGTGTTCGACGAAGAACTTATGGAACTCTAAACGGACACTTTTTCCTACCGAACACCGCTGAAACTACCGACCGCCCTTCTTATCATCGGGCATATGAACGCTGGTCCGTTCGGGACTTTGGATCATACGAGTGGACTTAACCCAGATAGCCATCCCATGGAGTCAATCGTATACCGAAAGGACAGTTTGAAAGACTTTGACTCCATGGCGATTGAACTATGTGCATTGGGTCTGAGCGCTATTCGGTAGTAATGTGCGCTCAGATGCAGGCTATCTGGGGATACATTACACGAATCAAATGTATTCGGTATTTTCATAGTTATGTATTTTTAGGCATTTTTAATGTATCCTGTAAAATGGCGGTTTGCCTCTATCCTTGGAGATAATTGGATTTCTTCCCAATTATCTCCAGGATAGAGAGGTGGGATTCACTTGTTTAAAGGGGTGTGTTTAAACCTGAGCCACTATGATTGGCTACTGTAAGATATATGTCCCAGTCTTCCATCTGGTCCCCTAGGGGAGTGTCCACCAGGTGGGAGACCTGCATAAATACCGGGCAGGTAGCCCTCATTAATGCAGTCAAAAAACAATTCCTGTTTTACCCTCAAGACGGAGCTTGGTCTCGTGTTTGGGAGGATTGGTACTTGGAAGTATTATTTCGCCTGGTTTAGCCGTGGAAGGAGTTCGGCTGATTCTTTGTTCGTGGGTTTATCGCATTCCCTTATACTCCGTTCGGGAGTTTGGCGGTCTACTGCAATAGAGCCTGTGTCTCTGAAAAGGGGAGGATTAACTAAACGGCGGTTTCACCCATTTAAGCTGTGAGTGTCTTAACATTGTGCATGGGGGGTACTGTTTTACTCTGTACACTTCACTGAACGCAAATATTAGTGTTTCAAAACAGTAAAACATATTACAGCGATGATATTGTCAGTGAGAGTGACATTTTTTGTATTTTTCACACACAAATGGCACGACATTGTTGTAATACGTTTTACTGTTTTAAAACACTAACATTTGTGTTCAGCGAAGTCTCCCGAGTATAACAGTACCCCCCATGTACAGGTTTTATAGTGTTTTTGAAAGTTACAGGGTCAAATATAAGGCCTTTTTTTCATATTGAAATTTACCAGATTGGTTATGTTGCCTTTGAGAGATCAGGAATGAGAATTACCCCCATGATGGCATACCATTTGCAAAAGAAGACCACCCAAGGTATTGCAAATGGGGTATGTTCAGTTTTTTTTAGTAGCCACTTAGTCACAAACACCGGCAAACATAAGTTTTTTGGGGGTACTTTACATTGGTCGGCATCAAAAATTTCCCAACTAGGACATGTTGGAAAACTGGAATGCCCACCTTCTTGATAAGGTCTTTTAACCCCCAGATAACCCGACACACCTATATATGGGTGGCAGGGCTGCCACCAGAAATGTTGGGGTCCCTGACACAGCCCAGCATCTGGGCCCCCCGGGGCCCGTCCCCCAAGTCAGTCCACATGACCTGCCTCAAGTTTGCACACACAACCCGCCCCCAAATCCACCCACAGGGCCCATCTTAAGTCCACCCACAAGGATGAAGTGTGTGTGTACTGAATTTGTTTGTGTGTGTATAGTGGCTATAGAATGTGTGTAGTGGATACAAACTGTGTGAGTAAAGTGGATACGCTGTTTATAGTGGATTCAGATTGTATGTTTGTGTAGTGGACAGAGTGTGTGTGTATAGTGGATGTATTGTGTGTATAGTGAATGCAGTGTGTGTTCGTGTACTGGATGTAGCATGTGAATGCAGATTGTGTGTTTGTGTAGTGGATGTAGTGTGTGTATAGTTAATGCAATGTGTGTGTTTGTGTAGTGGATGTAGTGTGTATAGTGAATACAGTGTGTCTGTCTAGTGGATATAGTGTTTGTGTGTATAGTAAATGCAGAGTGTGTGTTTGTGTAGTAATCATCTGCATGCCCGGGCCCCCAATCTGCATGTATATATAGCGAGTACCGCTATGTATATATGCCTCTGCGGGCCCTCCAAGCAGGGCCCAGGATATACTTACCTTCCCCTCCAGCACTCTAGTGAAACTGCTCTCTGAAACTGCTATGTTTATAGAAGAAAGGGTTAATCCTAGCTGGACCTGGCACCCAGACCACTTCATTAAGCTGAAGTGGTCTGGGTGCCTATAGTGGTCCTTTAAGCTCATTACACCAATAATAAATAGGAAGCACTTCTTTGATTTCTTCAACAGCATAGGTTGGGACTCACGTAAGTTGGGGTACTCTTGCATTAGTGGTTGGCATAAGCATTATATGTATGTTGTGTATCAATGTTTCTATTATATAAGACTGTGATGGCTGCATTTTTCATGATGCTCAGCCTGCCACAATTATCTATCACCTACCTTCTCCTAGCCATTAAGTTGAACTTACTTTTCATGCTATGTCTGATATACCTTCCTATTTGTTCTAATATAGAGCGCTCCCTGTTCTACAATGCTAATGCTTCCTTGCATAGTGCACTCTCTATGTCACAGGGGAGATGTATGCCACCCTCCTCCTCCCACCATCACCCAGTTCTTCGCTCCAGTGGGTCTGGACTGTCACATCAAATTATTTCAGCATCAGAAAAAAAAATGTTTTAAAAAGAAAATAATAAAATAAACCAGTTCCTTTTCTCTTTTATCTCAAACCTGGTGGGCGGGAGGAAAACTAGGACACTGTGTGGAAGGAGGCATGTTAACTCTTCCCTTGCTAAGACTGGCATCTATCATTAACTCCTTATGTCAGCACAAGAGGCGTTGGCAAAACATATTAACTCTATTCCGTGTAAGAACTTACATTAGACTGAGTTGTGTACGTGTGTGTAGGGGATGCGCTGAGTGTACCCAAACACAACCTAATGCAGGGTTAAACGGTCCTCTTTTTTCCCTGATTAAGTTTCTCTGGACTCTTTTGTGGGAGTTTGGGTTAGCTTGTTATGCAAATATTAGATGCTGTTTTTCATCTGGGTGCAAGCCATATATAAATGTTCTGTATACCTATACTGAGTAATTCTTTTATAGTATTACTTAAAAATAGCTCTTATTTCTGGGTGCTATTTTTTTTTAATATATGTTGTGTTTGATTTAATAATCCCAAGATATCCCCTGAAATGTGCGCCAAATTTAACTTTATTCATATTCTACCCAAATATCTAGCAAAATTCAGCAGACCCCACAAGGGTAACCCACTATAATATTTTTGCTGCTCTAAAGCTAGTTCTAGGCACCCTGTTTGTAAATACACTCGATAATGACCTCTTTTTAGCCTTACTCTCACAGTTATGTACGTAAACATCTCAGTGTATATGTGAGTAGTGATAATATGTTTTCTTGCAATGTGTATGAATGCATATTTAAGAATGTCTATGTACAGTACATGGCTGTGTTTTGCATACAAGGGTGATAGCAGGGGATTGGGGCACCCTGTCATCAAGATATTACTGTAACTTAGTTAACAAACTAGGGAGGATGGAAAATGTCTAAAAATATAATCTTCATTTAAAACAAATCTTCATGCTCCAAGCTTTATGATGCCTAAACTGTTCTGGCTTTTGGGCAACCATGCCGAATAAAATGGTTACTGTGAAGAAGCTGTACTAAGATGGAGTCCAAAGATGATTTGTTTATTTACTCGGCCAGCAAAAGATGGTAATGGGGGTTTTATGACTCA